CCGAAATGTTACAAAAAGGAAACAGTGAGTTTACATTGCAATCTCGGTGGGACCGATCCGCTCTTTCATTGAGACCGAAAAGTTACGAAAAGGAATCAGAGAGTTTGCAATCCCATCTCGGTGAGACCGAGATCCCTATCGGTAGAACCGATTTGCTAGGGTTTGGCAATGGCTATGACAAGTGAAACTCGGTGGCGCCGGGTTGAAAGAATCGGTAGGGCCGAGTTTGGCTTTGGGTTTAGGTCAAATGTGGATACGGGAAAGTAGTTGAGGGTATTGGAGCATATCACTAAGCACATGAAGCAAGAGGCTCATTAAGCAACACCTCATCCCTCCTTGATAGTATTGGCTTTTCCTAAAGACTCAATGTGATCTTGGATCACTAAAATATAAAATGAAGAGTCTTGAGCCTTTGAGCTTGAGCCAATCCTTTGTCCTTAGCATTTTGAGGGATCCACTTTCAACATCCATGCCATGCCAATCATTGAGCTTTCCTGAAATAATCATCTTGGAATAGCATTAGCTCAATGAGCTATATGTTGTTATGAATTACCAAAACCACCTAGGGATAGTTGCACTTTCAACGGTGGGTGAACAAATTACTGTCGAGCAATTGATATAAAAGCGAATAATTATGAGAATATCTAGGTATGATCATGTATAGAGGCATCATGTCCGTGACAAGTAGACCGACTCCTGCCTGCATCTACTACTATTACTCCACACATCGACCGCTATCCAGCATGCATCTAGAGTATTAAGTTCATAAGAACAGAGTAACGACTTAAGCAAGATGACATGATGTAGAGGGATAAACTCATGCAATATGATATAAACTCCATCTTTTTATCCTCGATGGCAACAATACAATACGTGTCATTTCCCTTTCTATCACTGGGATCGAGCACCACAAGATTGAACCCAAATCTAAGCACTTCTCCCATTGCAAGAAAGATCAATCTAGTAGGCCAAACCAAACTGATAATTCGAAAAGACTTGCAAACATAAACCAATCATACATAAAAGAATTCAGAGAAGATTCAAATATTGTTCATAGACAAACTTGATCATAAACCCGCAATTCACCGGATCTCAACAAACACACCACAAAAAGAAGAGTTACATCGAATAGATCTCCAAGAGAATCAAGGAGAACTTTGTATTGAGATCCAAAGAGAGAGAAGAACCCATCTAGCTACTAGCTATGGACCCGAAGGTCTGAAATAAACTACTCACACATCATCGGAGGGGCCATGGAGTTGATGTAGAGGCCCTCCGTGATCAATGCCCCCTCCGGCGGAGCTCCAGAAAAGGCCCCAAGATGGGATCTCTTGGGTACAGAAGGTTGCGGCGGTGGAAATAGGGTTTCGTGGTGCTCCTGGATGTTTGCGGGGTATATGAATATATATAGGAGGAAGAAGTAGGTCGGTGGAGCAATGAGGGGCCCATGAGGGTGGAGAGCGCGCCCAGGAGGATAGGCACGCCCCTGCCTCGTGGCCTCCTCGATTATTTCTTAACGTCCACTCCAACTCCCCTGGATCATGTTTGTTCCAAAAATCACGCTCCCGAAGGTTTCATTCCGTTTGGACTCCGTTTGATATTCCTTTTCGGCGAAACTCTAAAATAGGCAAAAAACAGCAATTTGGGCTGGGCCTCCGATTAATAGGTTAGTCCCAAAAATAGTATAAAAGTGTAAAAGTAAGCTCATTAACATCCAAAATAGATAATATAATAGCATGGAGCAATCAAAAATTATAGATACGTTGAAGACGTATCATTGTCCACATGTTTAAGAATTCCATGCTATACAGAGTAGTTGTCATACATACTTCCAGTAATCTTCATGCTACATCATATGAGGGTGTCATGCTATAGAGGGGTCATTCTCTCGGGAAGATGTATGGAACCAAACGATTGAGTTGTTTCATGGGAGAGGGCATGAGAGCGAATATTGTGCGTCATGGAAATTGCCATGTGTCACCATTTTAAGATTCACTTATGCAATCAGATTTCCCTTAAAATAATGGAGGCTCCAAGGTCTACGCGCAAACTAAAATGGATGTAATACAACCTCCAAAATTTCCTTGCATGTGGCGCCCAGATGTCATTGGCTAACTATTTCTTCTTCAATTCCCCAACCAAGCACAACATGCAGATTCATTCAAATATAACTAAAAATGATCCACTAAACTAGAACTACGAACGATTCATCAACCTACATTTCATTCATATATAGGCACGGAAAATGAGTCGCACTGCGACTTAATACATTCCAACCTATAAGATTGCTAGTCAACTTGGCTCCAAGAGGCTCCCTCGATCTCCCGCCTTCTCAGCCGTCAGATGGTAGTCAAAACGGTCTTCTGTGTGATCTGATACGTTGGATCCTCACGGTTGGTTTTAACCTGGCAGTAATTTCAAATGGCCAATGACATGTGGGCTCGCCTCGCGTGCTAGCCGTTTTGGGGTGCGCGAGCGCCCCCTCCTCATGCACCGCGTGCGCGTCGTGGGGTAGGTCGTGACCCCTCACCCAATCCCCTCGCTCAGACGCTGATCCCTCCCTCTCTCCTCAATCTCTCTCCCACGTCAGCCACAATGGCACGAAGCAACAAACATTCTACGAACGATTCATCAACCTACATTTCATCATATATACTTCCTCCGTTCCTAAATATTTGTCTTCTTAAGATTTCAAATGGAGTACCACATACGGATGTATATAGACATATTTTAAAGTGTAGATTCACTCATTTTGCTCCGTATGTAGTCATTTGTTGAAATCTGTAAAAAGACAAATATTTAGGAACGGAGGGAGTAAGGGCCAAAAATGAGTCGCACTACGACTTAATACATATACATAATAACTAAAGTGGGACTAGTTGCGACGGCAGGACTTTCCGGCACAGGACGCGTCAACGCAGGCATCGGCGGGCCCGTGATATATTGCGGGCATCAATGGTGTGGAAATGAGCCAGGGCGACCTCTACTGCCAGCGGCGACGGCTTCCTCCTCCTGGGCACCCTCAATCCCGCTCCAGTGCTCACTCGCTCTCCGACCTAGGCCTTCCCGTCAAGGTGCTCCTCATGGTCGCCCCTTTGCAGCTCGTCTACCGCAAGTTCACACGCTTTGTCTGCAATCCCGTCTCCGCCCAGCTATTCCGCCTCCAAGAGTTCGAGGAGTCCACAGACGGATGCATTTGTGAGTCAGCTTTGGAGATGCGCCCGGCCCTTCTCCTGGTTTTGAATCTTTCCTTCAACTACCATGATGAGATGGGGATTGTGGGAAGGAAGAGCAACTCCAACCAGGCAACCCATTTCGTCCATCCACGTCTGTTTAGGTCGTCGCGAACAAAAATGCCGGTCCAACACACCGACCCATTCTCAAAAACCGTCCGCTTCACGTCCACGTGGACCCTTCCGGCTCAAAATTGCGCCTGAAATGCGTCGGCGCGGACGCGCCGCGTGTCCCCTCGATGTCCGCCGCGACCCTGCATGTCGATCGCCCAACTATCACCCGTGGTCATATTTATGATGACCACCGATACCGGACCCGCATGGCAGTGTGTAGAAGGGTTGCATGCCCGTCCTTTTTAATGGATGCGTGCGGCGAGGCCGGCCTCATCCACAACCCACGCCAACATATGACCGTCTTTGCTCCCTCGCCGGCGACCAGGAAACCCTAGCCAGCCAGCAAGCATCCAACTAGCCACGGGATTCTTCAATGGGAAGGGAGGAAAGAAGGGGAAGTTCAGCGCCGGAGCGAGCTCTTCCTGCGGGCAGCCTGCTACGTCACCGTCGGCTAGATGTGGCACGCCACCGCGGGTGTAGGAGCGGTTGTACATCTCGGTCCACCAGGCGCTGTGGCAGTGGCAGTACCGCCGGCCCGTGCCGTATCCAGATGTCAACCTACCACACGGCTGGCATCTGGACCCGCAGCGCATCCCCATCCCGGCGGCGCAGCGGCCCGCGCGGGCGTATGCTGAGGAGGTTCGCCGGCGGCGTGAGCTCCTCATGCTAGAGCAGCGTGCCATGCGTCAGTACGCGCCAGACTTCCCCAACTGGGAGCACTGGTTTGCACTAGAGCATGAGGAGGAGCGCCGCCTCGGCGTCCACATCAACCACGACCTTCCACCGCAACCCCTGCGGGTACAACCAGAGGAAGAGAAAACGGAGGCGGAGTACCAAGCCGCCCTCGAGGAGGCCCTGCAGCACGCGCTGGAAGCGAGTCGGCTCGAGGGGGACGCCCGTTGGGATGGGCTGGAGCAAGCCCTAGCTTTGTCTGCGACAGGGAACTCCGTCCAGGCACCCCTGTTCGTGTCGCCACCGCCGCTGGCGCCGCCCCTCGTCGAGCTCAAGGCCGACCCAGAGCCAGAGCGCGAGCCAACGCCCACGGACAAGCGGTCACCGTCGCCCCCCACTTGGCCGGAGCAGTCCTATTCATGGACCAGCCGGCTCCACAAGTGGACTTTGGCCGACGTTGACTGGCCATTTATGTATAATTATGTTTAATTAGTGGCCATGTCGACATTAATGGGCCGACCTCTCGTTGGGCGTACCTGCCGACTCAACTAAAAACTGGACGTGTTTTTTTCCACCGTCAGTGACATGAGACGGCCTATTGGCTATTGGTTCCTCGCGTGGTCTATCCCAACCGGCCAACTTTATGGACCGGCAATGCTTCGAACAACTCGAACGCGCTGGTCCAAACGAACATACGTTTTGTTTATTTTCGTCCGTTTAGATCAGTCAAACGGACATGTGCGCCATAAAATTAGTCAGTTGAGATAGACAAATTAGCCAGTTGAGATAGACCATGTAAGGAACCAAGGTCAGAGCTGCGGGAACCAGTGCCCGTGAACCAGCCACAGCCAGGCAGAGCCGCCTCGCCTTCTCTCTCGGCCTCTCCGCTCCGGTTGCACGCAACAGAAGTACTCCTCCCCTCCTTTTTTTTGTTGCGAGAATCCTCCCCTCCCTCCCCCCACCAAATCCGCCGCCGCCAAAATGCTGTCCCTTCTCCGCGCCGCCGTCTCCGGCCGCCTTCGCCGCACCCTCTCCACCGCCGCCGCGCGCCCTCCCTGGGCGATGATGTACCGGATCTCCCAGGGGTCCAGCTCCACGGGAAGCGTGTCGTCCTCGCTCGCCCCGCCGCCGTCCGTCTCCTCCGTCTCCATGCCCAGACACGCCCCCGACATCGACCCCTTTCCGCCCCAACCCAAGTGCATCAGCCTGTTTAAGGGCCTCGTCCACGCCGCCAGCGGCCACGGCTTCCTCCTCCTGGACACCTGCAGAGCCCGCCTCCAGACTCATGACCTCAAGCTCCTCTACCAGAGGTTCGCGCGCTTCGTCTGCAACCCGGTCACCGGCCAGCTGCTCCGCCTCCCGGACTTCGACGGCGCCGAGAAGACCTTTACCAACGGCATGGGGCTCCTCACCCAGGCTTACGGCGCCAGCGGGCCGCCCAAGAGGTATGCCGCTGCTCAGCTCACCGAGGTCGACGGCGGGCGGCGCTTCCTGCTGCGCCGGTTCTCCTCGGAGTCGGGGGACTGGGAGGAGCTGGTCCTTCCTTCCCCGATGCCGCCTCACCGGCGAATGTACATGATTCACGAGGTGCTGGACTTCGGAGGCCGGCTCTGGTGGGTGGACGTGAGCTGGGGCGCCATCTGCGTCGATCCGTTCAGCGACCGGCCTGAACTCTGCCCCGTCGAGCTGCCGGCACACAGCATGCTTCCTGACCAACTGGCCGAGAGCGAAATGAGGCGGCTTATCAAGCATCGCCACATGGGGGTCAGCGCCGGCAGGCTGCTCTTTGCCGAGGTCGACCCGTTCCATATCAGATCCTTCACGCTCGACGACGAGAGCGGCCGCTGGACGCTGCAGCACCAGGTGTCGGTTGATCTTTTGCCTAGTGGAGGTAATGCCAAGGAGATGCCTTTTGTTGCTGCTGTCGATCCACTGGACACCAACCTGCTGCATCTCAACGTGGACAGAGTTAATTTCAGCATCGACATGTCCAGGAAGAGGATGATTGAGATTACTGCAATACCTAGTGACATGTATCCTCCGAGCGAGGCCGCAACAACCTCCTATCTACCTTGTGTGCTCCCCTCATTTCTTCGATCAAGCACGATTCCAGGTGATCACAGATTCACAGTGACACATTTCTTGAAAAAGGAGCTGTGTTGATGAGACTCCATATATATGCTTAGTCTAATTCATGTGTGTTTGGCCCCTTGTGTTCCACATTTGTTGTGTTCTTGGGGCATGCTTCTAGTTTGTCCAAATGTCTCTTCAAGCATTTCAACCTGATGGTTTTCCAATCATGTTAGCTATTGCCTTGGTCATAGAGAAATTATCTTGAAACATGTATGCAGTATATGAGTGATTTAGCTTTTGAACAGCAATTTTTAGAGCTATGTTCCCTGTCCTGGTACACTGTAGCTTAGGTTGTTCCTATATAATACTCCCTCCGTCCCATAATGTAAGATGTTTTTTGACATTACACTAGAGTCAAAAAACGTCTTACGTTATGGGACAGAGGGAGTAGTTAACGTATTCTCAGTTATGAAGCTGTCCACTTCTTTTCTGAAACTATTTCTCAAATGGAGTTCATCATTGTGGGGATTTTCATGGGAGAAATGCAACGTGTCTTTGGCAATAGCAGTGATGTAAAGTTCTAAACAACTGAATCAGTAGTTGATTCCTAGTTAACGCTGCCAAGTAGCAGCAGCCTTCTTTGGTGATTTGTTCCAAGTTCAAATTTCCAGGCTAAAACATGATTAGAGTTATCTGTTGTTTATGAATTTCTAATTTACACTGCATGTTCTATATTTGACATTCTAATCAAGTTAGGTATTGTCTTGGTCAGAGAGTTTCTTGACAAATATTTACGTGGTAATTTGTACGATTTTAGCTTCTGGTTGCTAGCTTATAATTATGTAAAATGCGATATACTGTACGAACAAATTGTTTCCTGTTACTATTCTGTTCAAATTCTTGTACCTTGATGAAAGGAACCCCTTTTCAGGTAAGAAGTGTGTCATGAAAAACAAGACTTTGGCAGATGTTCTGGTTCGTGTAGACAGACATCACGCTAAATGAAGCGTGCCAAGTTACCATCCAATGCGTCGCTGGGTACTATCTCTTAGCTCATGCTTCTATATTGATCCATTATTACCTGTATGCCATCCACTCACATGTTTAGGATGATATATCTCTTACCCAGTCCATACATTTATGATCTGGCGAAATAATGTTCTGTCCTTTTGCCAATTACAATTAGTATGTGTTGCCTTATATAGTTATATATCATCATCCTCCAGTGAAAAAATGTCATCGTCATTTAAGTTAGCCCGTAATTGGTTAAGTTCTAGTTAGTGTTGCAGTGGAACTAGTATTATTTGTTTTTAATTGGCGCAGATCTCTGTAGAATGTTAGCTACTTGAACCTGTTCCTCCAGTCGTACAGTCTTGTGGTAGCAATTTGTAATCCTGCTAAAAACTATCAACAAGTTTTTTAGCATGGACTCTTTATCTAGGAGTACAGTTTTTTAGCATGCACATTATTTGTACTAGCAGCAATGATTAACTGATAAAATGCACAACTATAAATTGGGCAATACATCGTTTTGAGACCTGAAGTGCCATCATAATGTCCAATTGACCATTTTCTTCGCAGCAGTCCTGATGTCAAGACATGCATGTCATTCCAGATGATAACTCATTATTCATTTCACTTTTGAAAAGGACATGCTTTGGTTTTCTATATCTTTTTTTCTTTATGGTGCATCTTTTTACATGTGCCTAATCTCTTGTGTCTATCCTCAGGTTTCTAACAATCAAGTAGTAGCTGATGCGCGATAGGTGATGGTGGGACTCAGATTTTGTGGGAAATCTGGAGATGTTTGGGTTTCGAGATTTTGATGCTTGTTCAGACTCCATACCAAGGCAGCCCGCGCTCATCCCTTCCTAGCAAGAGGCGGATGCATCCACATGTTTAACTCCCTTGAGAGAAACTTATTTGTATGAGACATGTGACGAATCGATGATGAGCGTTTCAGTATTATGCTTATTTGCATGTTACTATTAAGTGCCATTCAATTTACATATACTATGTGATCAAATTAATATGGAAATGGTAGCTGACATATGTCAGCCAGGAGGCAAGAGCCAGCGAACGCCCTCATCGTTGTACATTGCACATGCACGGATCTCCGCGCAAGGCCACTGCCACACAGATCTTATCCAGTCATTCGTGGTACACTGATTCCTGGCGGATGCGTCACAAAGGTCATGAGGTAGGGGGGTGGAACCCATGACCTCCTGTGCATTACCAATAGGAGTTTTTTTATTTCTTATGGCATGGAATTTTTATTACCAACAGGATGGTATTGTTATCAATAGTAGGATGGAATTTTTATTATTGAGAAGATGGCATTTTTATTATTGATAGATCGCATTTATATATTTGAGAGATGCCATTTTTATTTCTCATGTCATGGCATTTTTATTACCAAGCGCAAGGCATTTTTATTACCAATAGGATGGTATTTTTATCAATAATAATATGGACTTTTTATTATTGAGAAGATTGCATTTTTATTTTTAATGACATGGCAGTTTTATTAACAGCAGGATGACATTTTTTATTAAAAATAGGATGGCATTTTATTATTGAGGGGATGGCTTTTTTTTAATTATAGATAGGATGGCATTTTTTAATGTTTGAGAGGATGTCATTTTATTATAGAGGATGGCATTTTTATTATTGAGAGATGGCATTTATATTTTTGAGAGATGGCATTTTTATATCTCATGGCATGGCATTTTTATTACCAATAGGATGGTATTTTTATCAATAACAGGCGGTAATTTTTATTATTGAGAAGATGGCATTTTTATTATTTGAGAGATGGCATTTTTATTTTTAATGACATGGCAGTTTTAATAACAGTAGGGTGGCATTTTTATTAACAATAGGATGGCATTTTTATTATTGAGAGGATGACATTTTTTATTATAGATAGGATGACATTTTTTAATGTTTGAGAGGATGACATTTTAATGTTTGAGGGGATGATATATTTTTTTTATAAATAGGATGACATTTTTTAATGTTTGAGAGGATGGCATTTTTATTTTTAGTGGCATGACAGTTTCTTTTTGGAGATAAATTTTTTTATCTAGAGGATGGCAGTTTTACAATGTAGCACGACAAAAAACAATTAGAGCATGGTATTTACTCTTTCTCAATTTATAAAGTTCCTTTCCGTTCGCCTTAGGCAAAGCAAGTTTCAACGACTGAAAAAAAGCATATTGAATGTCCTGTTGGTCATACAGGTATATGTTTTGATACTCCCTCCGTTCCAAAATATAGCGCGTCCTCGGTCTCGTGGGTTAAATTTATGGTCCCGGACGGTCCTCGGATTATATAATTTTTGGAACTTTGACCATTAATTTAATCAACAAGATCGACTGCGGCGGGCGAAAAAATTATACCAATGAATTCGTATTCAAAAAAGTTTTTAATTATATAATTTTTTATCCCACCGCAGTCGGTCTCGTGGGTTAAATTTATGGTCAAAGTTGAACCTCAAAAAGCGTGGGCGCGCTATATTTTGGAACGGAGGGAGTATGAAGAACCTTGATAATGAATGCCAACTATGTCATAGTGATGCATCCCTCGTGAAGGGGTTTCATCGCTTCTTCTTTGAGCTTTTGGAAAATGTCAAACCCATCTGATACATCTTCTTTATTTTCAGATTTCTTGAGCATGTCATCCATAAGAGCTCCCGGCGTATCATACACAAATTGATTAATCAGCTCAAAATCATTAGAGTCGTCAGGCTTATAACCATCATCATTGGCAGTATCATTGCTTCCATTGACGTCCCATGATTCCCAATGATAGATCCACCTGGTAGAGGTCCTGAGCATACATATGATATTTATGTGACTCCATTATCACAATCTTTGCATGTACACAAAATATCTTTGGCCCCGTTGTTGTGAGCAAGTGTGAATTGGATAAATTGATTCATACCAGCCATGTATGGTGGCGTCAGCTTGGTTCCATCAGTAATCCATCTACTATCCATTGCATGCACAACATCAAAAGTAAATATAACCAGCTCTGAGATCGGGTTTAGAAAACCATGAGGCACCGAACACGACGATCGCTCCATTCCGGGTGGTAATACACAGGTATAGGATTTCCTGTAATGATGTGAAACCGTATATTCGGAGAAATAGCTTAGTTCGAGAGGGGACCTAAAATTTTGCTATGATGTTTTTCAGTAAAGAGATATAACCTGAAATTACCCCTATTTCACTCCGCTGTAGTCACGCGTGACTTGTCCCTGCAACAGGGGCGTGTGTCCTCGTCGTACCATCGCAGTAACATTCGCCTCGCTGTGTCGGCCTCTCGACTCGCCGGGAACGTGGTATGAGAGGAGGGGCCTAACCCGACG